GGGGGGGGAGACTCGCTACGCACTGGCAAAGTGGGTGACCACGTCATTGCCGACAAAGCCACCGGAGGAGGTCTCCGTGGCGAAGCGCTCAATGACGGAGCTGGTGCCACTGAAGCAATAGAGGGCGAGGGGCTTGTCACTGCACCGAGTGTGAGCAGCACAAGAGCATAGGAGAGAGGGAGGGAGGGGGGGAGTTAGGTCTCGGGGGATTCTTTCGTGCAGGGACACCCACCAGGGCGGGGGATTAGCTCGGGCACGGGGAAGGGGGGGTGCATACCGGGAGTTGATGAAGCGAATGGCCTGATCGGGGCTGTCCACCACCATAATCGGAAGAAGAGGGCCGAAGATCTGTCGAAATGCACACGCAGCCTGTCAGCAAGGGGGTGTCGCAGAAAAGGGCCCGGCGAGGGAGGGCCTCGGGAGAGCCGGCCGCAGCAGGGCGGGGCTGGGAGAGGAGTGGGTTTTTGACACGGGGAGTGGGCGTACCTCCTCCTTCATGATGGGCTGCTCGGGGTTCACATCGACAATGACCGTGGGGGCGATGTAGAGATCGGCCTCGTCGGTCTCACCACCGATCACCACACCGGCCGAGGGAATCAGCTGGCGCACGCGGTTGAAGTGATCTGTTTGTGGTGCCAGCAAAGGAGGAGCCGGGAGGGGGGGGGGGGGGGGGAGACGATGTCAGAATGCGCACGGCGAAGTATTTGGCGAGGCCTGTGTGTAGGTATGTATGTATGTATGTGTGTGTCGCGTTTTATGGGCGGCAACAAACGTACTCTGGTTGACAATGCGGCAGTAGGCCGGCGAGCGCTGCGGGTCCTCGCCAAACATCTCGGTGATGGCCTTCTTCAGCTCGCGGACAAGCTTGTCCTATGTGCATTTATATATATAAATGTGTGTGTGTGTATGGGCGCGGACGTATGCACGCATTCGCATGTCAACAAATGAAGACAGCAAGCGAGGCACATGCAGGGGCGAGGTCAGTATACGCGGTCGGTATCACGGTGGCTGCCACCCATTCGGGCACAAAGCCATATGCATGTGCGAATGCGGGCGCCAGGTGGCGGGACCCCATGCGTACCCTCACTGAGGCGTAGGTGAGGATGTAGTCGGGGGCAATGCACGTCTGGCCGGCGTTCAGGAAGCGGCCCCAAACGATCGACCGCGCAGCGGCACCAAGATCGACATTGGCATCGACGAAAGTCGGGCTGAGGGGCGGGGCGAGTCAGAATCCCGGAACCGGTGGAGCGTGAGCACCCAGCAGGAAGAAGACGCCGCCTTGTAGACGGCAGAGGAGGAAGAAGAGGGCGCACCTCTTGCCACCCAGCTCCAGGGTGACCGGGGTCAGGTGCTTGGCGGCGGCGGCCATCACGATCCGACCGACAACACCGCTGCCGGTGTAGAAGATGTGGTCGAAGCGCTCCTGCAGCAGGGCAGTGGTCTCATCCTTGCCGCCATTCACCACAATGTAGGCGTCGCTATCCAGGTACTTGGGCATCAGGTCGCCGATGACCCGAGCAATGTTGGCCGAGATCTAGTCCATGTTGGGAAGAGAAGACCGGTCAGATAGGGGCCCATTTGCATGCCTTTATATATATATATATATATATGTGTGTGTGTGTGTGCGTGTGTGCGTGTGTGTGTGCCTGCGTCCCCGCATCCCGCAGTGCGTGATATTGTGACACACCTCCGAGGGCTTGATGATGGCCGCATTACCAGCGGCGATGGCGCCCACCAGCGGGCCAATGGTCAGGGCGAAGGGGTAGTTCCAGGCGCCAATGATCAGCACCACACCGAGGGGGTCCTTGCGGATCTGCATGCGGTTGAACATCTGCGCCGGGGTCTTGGCCACAGCTTGCGGGGCAGCCCACTTCTCAAGGTCTATGTGTGTGTGTGTGTGTTTGTGTGTATGAGGGCGAGAGAAAGGGGGGGGGGGTGTTAATAGCGTGGGAGAGGAGAGCAAAGGAGAGGACAGCCGCGCATCGGGTACGGGGCAAGAGGGGAGATGGCATTGGCACATACTGAGAAGCGCATCGGCGATGTCATTCTTGACGGTCATGTACTCGCACATCTGAGCCTCGTTCGGGCACTTGCGCAGATCGGCCAGAAGCGCGGCGTTCAGGGCCTCGCGGTTCTCCTGCATAGGTGGGGGAGGTAAGGGGGTCAGGGGGGTCGTATAGCAGGAGCGGCAGAGGGGTGCGACGGAGAGAGGAGGGGCGCCGACGGCGAGGAGCTTGAGGGCGTACATCGATCAGGGCAGCCAGCTGGCGGAGCTGCTTGCGGCGATAGTCCAGCGACCGAATGCGGCCCGTGTCGAAGGCCGTCCGGGCACAGCGGACAATCTGCACGGCAGAGGGAGGCGAACGGGGAGAGGGGGGGATGCGTGTGAGCATGTCGACCGTGCGGCGGGATCGGCGGAGAGCGGCAAAGGAGGGGAGGAGGCCTGGCCCCAGGGAGGAGGGCACATACCGAGGGGATCTTCTCGATCGGGGTGTAGACAAGGTCCTGGTTGACCATGGTTGGAGGAGAGGCAGGGGGAGGGGGAGGGAGGTGGGTAGGAGGTGGGCGGGTGAAGGGAGGAGAAGCGGGGCGGAGAGGGGCTGAGGCGAGCAGATGGGGAGCACCACACAGCGGTGTGAGCTGTCAGGGCGGCTCTTTGGTCTGGGGCTGGGCAACGGCGATTGACGGCTTGGGCATGAGAGCTCGATGCTGTCGCCACCCTCATGCCAAGGTGGTGGGCGTGCGATCTCGCCCGGGCGTCCCCCCTGCCGCCGGGGAGCCGAAGGGGGCGCCCACGGCATGCAACTCCCAGCCTGACACCTTGCCCCCGGAGGCTGAGGGGGCGTGGGGGTGAATCAGATCCCCGGCGCCAACATGGGCGGGGCGCCGCCGGGCCCCGCTCTTTTGCCCCCGGCCCCCCGCCGGACTTTCTCGAGGGGGGGACACACCGAAGGTCATGCCTCCGCCGCTGCAAGGGGGGCACCTGCGAGTCCGCTGTGTGGACGCAATCGTTCGCCCCCACGGCAAAGACCCAGCGGCGCCCCCCTCCCCCCCCGCCCGCCCCAGCGTCGACCCTGCCTGTGAACGCACCCGCCGCTGGCACGCAGACTGGCCGGGGGTGCCATCGGTGCGCGAGGAGGGCGCCCTGTCCGCGGGCGCCGTGCCCGCCAGCAGTTGGGTTCTCCGGCGCACGCCCCCTGCGCCGCGGGGACCAAGCAGCGCGCCGGGCCTGTCCCATCTGCGGGGGGACCCCCGCGTTGCCACCGATCGACCCCCCTTGCAGCGCCGTGCCACCCGCATGCCCATCTGTCCCCTTTCGACTCTGGCGGCTGGTTAAGAGCGCCCGCGGCACTCCCCCCCCCCCTGCCCCCCGTGCCTTGTGGACACCCCTCTGCTGTGCTTCCCTGGCTGTGGTCGTGCTTTTCCCGAGCGAATACGCCAGCGGCGCCAGGCGGCCGGGCCACGTTTATTTATTTCCAGCCCCCGGGCTTTCACGCTTCCTCGGTGATGCCTGGCAGGGGAAAGTGCGGCCATCCAAAAAAGGTAGACCACAACGCTGGCGGCAATGCAAAGGCAAGAGAGGGGCCCCAAGTTCAGCCCGTCGGGAGAGGGAGGCAGGGGGCCGAGGGGGAGGGAGTGACAATGTCTGGTGCCAACGAACAGGGCATTCAAACAGCTTGGTCTTGTTGTCCGGCCGGGAGGGCCCGCAAACAGGGCCTCGCCCTGTGCAGTGACTAGCCACCTCCGCTCTCTCTTTCTTTCTCTCTCTCTCTCTCTCTCTCGCACACACACACACACACACACACACACACCCCCCCCGACAAATGGCGAAATGCATCCTAGCAGGGACCCCTGGCGGAAAGGGGGTCAGTCGAATCGGCTCAAGGCGAAAGATGAACGAATATGCCCTCGCCCGCCCCTCTCCGGTCACGGCACCTCCCTGGGCATGTGCATGTTGGGGACCGCCCCGCCCCTCCTCTGTCCCTCTTTCAGGCGCGACGAACCAGTGAAAGGGAACAAACGCAACGTGTATTCCCCTTTTCAGGGGCCACGCTTCCCGGAGAAGGGTGATACTTGTGCCAGGGGGGGGGGGGGGGGCCCGGCTTCTTCGCCATTCCCGCCCGGTTTCTCGCTTGCATGACCCGAGGAGAATAGCACAAATGCCTAGGTGGGATTGATATCCAGGAGGAGGAGCTCGTCGTCACTGGAATCCATGCTGGTCTCCACCTTGATGGAGATATTTTCCTCAGGCGGGGCCTGGGCCAGCACGCGAAGGAAAAAGTCCGGGCTGTGCCGGGCGCGTTCCGCCAGCCGATCGGTCAGATCAGCAAAGTCACGCTGCGTGGCGCAGTAGAAGGCCACGGCGAAATTCGGATCGAACTTCGAGTAGTGCAGCAGCTGAATGGCCGAAGTGTGATAACTGGAGAAATACTATCTCCACAGCGTGTGTGGGCGGGTGTGTTGCGAGGCAGCCAGCATTAGCAGGGGGTGTGACGAGCAGCAGCAGCAGCAGCAGCAACAGCAAGGGCCAGGGAGGGAAAAGGAACGGGGGAAGCGTACCCGCTCCGGGACAGAATGTAGCTCCGTCGGGAACTTCAAGGCCACCTGCGTAGTGTGTGGGTCTAGGAAAGTGAAGTTCTCGCCTGAGGTTCGGGCATGGGCAGGCCACCAGGTCAGGGAGGGAGGGAGGCAGTGGTGCAGAAGCCCATTTGGAATGTTGGATTAGTTGAGGGGGGCAGGTGCGGCAGTGCAAGCGCGCACAGGCATGGCAGCAGCGTGCACGTACCCTCCATGCCGACGATAAAGTGCGCCAGATTCGGCCGACCCCCGACGATCCCCATCGACTGTGGCATGAGGAGGCAGGCCTATTTTTTTTTTGAAAGGGGGAGGGAAGATGGGATGGATGAGTCATGTGCCACAAGAAGAGAAGGGGGAGGGCAGCTGCGACGCCTTCCAACGCACCTTCATGTGCTCAAAGATGTCGGGGCGGATGCAGCTCAGGTCCGGCTTCAGTGGCAGGAGAATGAGAACACCACACTCGGGCAGTTCGACATCAATCGGCGCCTGCAGTGATCCAGACGGCGAGGGAGACACCGGGGTCGAGCTGATGGTCTCGTCCATCGAGGAGGATTGTCTCGAGGCAACCCCCAAGGCAAGCATAGCTTGGCGGTCCTCCTCAAAAAGGGCATGGACTTCAGATTGGATGATGGTCCCTTCGGTACCGACATACACCTTGAGACGGATGCAATCTTGCTTGGGTTGCAGGTCGCTGGCGGAATGGGAGAATCTGTCAGCAGAAGGAACATCGACCAGGCCGGGAGGCAAAAGTTGGGCAGAGGTCGGGCTTACCGGATGAGGGTCGACGCGAAGTGCGGTCCGATCCAGCCATTGACCGGGATCGATCGCGAGTAGGCCAGGCTCGTGAGGGCCTGCATGGAGAAGGGGGCAAACCTGTGATCGAGAGAGTCGTGGCAATCGGCAAAGAGGGCCAGAATCTGGACAAAAAAGGGGGAGGCATAGACACCAATCCAGTGTCAGCATACACACACACACAGAAGGGCAAGAAGAGACAGGAGAGAAGCAGAGGAAGCGGGGGAGGAAGGAGAAGCGGCAGTGGCAGGAGGAAGCGGGGGATAGAGGAATAGGCCGATAGAGAGGCGCCGGGGTGAGGAAGGCAGTGATCAGCCACGAACCTGTCGGTACTTGCGAAGGGTTTTCTCAACATTGTAGCCCGGGCGCCAGTCTTGAGCCCATAGGGGCACCGGTGTGTGAGATACTTGTTTCGGGGCAGGGGGGGGGGGGGGGGGGGGCGAAAGGTGACGACATGAGCGATGTGGCGCACCGTCGCCAAGAATCCGGCGGCGAAGGGTGTTGGCAAGGACCATCTGAATGACACGGTACATGCAGCCCCAGCCGGCATCCGTGATGCGCTGCGTGCGATTGGCATCCTGGAAGCCTGCCATTGATGAAAGCGGGTGAGTGATGATGGCAGTCAAATTCCACCAGGCAGGCAAGTCGAGCAGCAGGCATGAGCATGTGTGTATGGCATCATGTGTAAATACATGTGTGTGTGTGTGTGTGTGTGTGTGCACTAGATGTGCTGTCACGTACCCGACCGATAGGACAGCCAGATCAACGACCGCAGGGCCTGGCCATACTCATTCCAGCAGCCCAGGATGGACATACGCTCGGCGTGGGCGGCGCGGCCTTGGAACTGGCCCACGTCGATGGTGGAGAACCCCTCGGAATCGTCATCATCATCGTCCCGAGACTCTGGCCGAGGAGGCCGATGTGTAAGGGCCGGCGACTCGAACGGGGTCCCAACCTGGTGATCCAAGGACGGGGCCTCCGGCGCGAAGGGGATGCGAAAAGGAAAGGGCTTGCCAAGCAGTGTGCCGCTGGCCACATTGGATGGCGGGTCCCGGGCCATGATGGCAGATCGGAACATGATGCGTGGACGTGGGTGGGTGGGTGGGTGGCAATGGGTACTCCAAGTGTATGAGCGTGTGCCGGCAGTGGGGATGTGCAAAGGGGGAAGGGTATCTGCGCGGATAGCCGAGGAAGGGCAATTGCAGAGGAGGGAGGGGGGGGGGGAGGGGAGAAGGAAGGAGAGTGGCGGCGAGGAGAGGATCTACAAGAAAGGCCTGGCCTGAGGCCGGGGCAGGGCGGCCGCGTATGAGTGTTCGTACCGCGGGGTAAAAGTAGGACAAACCACCGCAACTATCCTCGGCAGGCGCCCCTCCCAGGGGGTACAGGCGTGAGACTGGACTCGCGCATGTTTACATGTCGCGCGCATCTTGTCGCCCGCCCCCCGCATGCACACACACACACACACACACACACCCGGCCCGCACCGCAGAGAGCACGCCCAAAAAGGAAAGTTACCCCTGGGGCGATGGAGACCTGCGGGGCGAGCGAGATGCGGGCCGGTGATGCGGGCGTTCCCTTTTGCTGTTGCTCTTCTTTGGGCGCTCCCTTTCCCGCTCCGGTCCCCATGCCGCAAGAAGCGCCAAGTGTCAATGTCGATCGAAGAGTCCCCCAGTGCCGGGGTCCGGCTCATTCCGGCCCAGCCCGGGCCCCGGGGAAGCACTCACAAGCCCGGGCCCCACCTCGGCGCACTGGCTGGCGTCCACAGTTGACCGCCGGCAGCCGGACCCCTACCAGATGCCAACTAACCCGCCCGTTAATTACACCATCCGGTGGGATGCGCGTTGAGTCGCCAGCAGCAGGCGGCCATTTTTGAGGAACTGCCACGGTCGCGAGAGGCCGAAGGGGCGGCAGAAGGGGGACTTATGGTTATGGTTGGGCCGGGTGAGCCTCCTGGCTTGTTTTTTTTTTTCCTTCCTCCATCAGGTTTCCTTCCGTTGAGACCACGCCCCGGGAATAGCTCCTTGATTCAGGGGATCCCCCCTTCCCCCTTCCCCCGAGGACCCGCGTGCACGTCTACCACTGGTTGTGCCCTCCTCTCTTTCTGCCCGTTTGCCTTTGTTGAGGGACGCATCCAGCGAGATTCAAATTTGCGAGTCTATTTTATGAGGTACATGCAGGGTGTGGGAAGGCGGAGGGGCCCACATGCAGGCGACAAGAGGGGGGGACAGGAGGGATACGGCTGGAAGAGAAATGTTGACAGGGCGGGATATGGTGTGTGAAAAGCGCACGCGCGCGCGCCTGCACATTGGCCTGGCGCATGGTCGTGCATGCATGCGGGCGCATATTGATGTGCATGCATGCATGTGTGTGTGTGTGTCGGGATTGGGCCACACGCGCATGTCTCGTTGCTCTTTCTCTCTTTTTGCCCAGCTGCAGACCGCCCTCTTACTCGTTCTTGGCATCCTCGAACATCTGGCGGAGCTCGCGCAGCGACTGGATGAGGTGGGCAGCGAAGCGGCGCGAGTCGGTGTCCGGGCAGCTGCGCTTGCAGCTGATGTGGAAGCTGAGACCGTCATCATCAGCCACCATGTAAGACACACCGTAGCCGTCGTCGGTGACTGGGCCAAATCCACCACCGTACGAGAGCTGTCATGAGAGGTGGTTGGTTATCACATGGGGAGCGAGACGAAGGCCGGGAGGTTATTTTTTTTTCGCGTTTGGTGTGTGTGTGAGAGAGAGAAGAGCAGAAAGAGGAAAGAAGAGGGAGAGAAAGAAAGAAAGGAAAAGACACAGGAAGGTGCCCCAACAGTCTCGGGGGTCTTGGCTCGGCCATGCCGAGTGGGGGGGGGGGGGGGTGTCACAGCACATTGGCTCACGCACCAGGTCGGGGTACTTGCGCAGGTTCAGCATGCCAGTCTGGTTCTGGGGCTGCTGCGAGGTGGAAAGCTTCCACTTCATGGAGAGAGCCGCCTCCAGGAAGGGCGACCGGACATTCAGACCCTTGGACATGACGTACAGGGCGAACAGGTGACGATCGACACCCTTGCCGGTCATGGCATCGCGGTAGAGGTTCTGGTGATTGTCGGCAGCCAGGCTCAGCAGGCGGATGCGCTCCTTGTTGGAGACGGCCGGGTCGAAGAAGGCGCGCACGAAGTTGGCCGAGGGGTGGGTGACCGGACGGACGGTCTCCGTGCGCCCATGCAGGAAGAGTCGAGTCATGGAAGACTCGTAGGTCAGGACAAACTGGCCCTGGGACTCGCGGAAGTAGGCCAGCTGTAGGGCCATCTGCAGGAAGGCGTCCGGCGACACGCGGCACTGCTTGATGAAGCCCTTGCCGAAGTCGCTGAAAACCACGACCTCCAGCTCGACATCAGACACGAGGTTCTGGGCACGCGCGAACGAGGCCATGATGGCCTCTTCGGCACGCATGCTGAAGTCCCACATGAGCGGCGTGGGCGGAGCGCGAGGGCGCAGGGGGCCGGTGCTGTGGGGGTACGATGGATCATCCGAAAGTGCAAGACCCGAGAGGCAGGAAGGAAAGCGGCAGGGAGCGGCCGGGGGCCGACGGCGGCCGCGGCAGGTGTGTCAGTGCACTGGCGAGGAGAGGGGGCCACATTGCGCGAGCGCAATCCGGACAGCGAAGTGGGCCGAGAAGAAAGGCAAGGAGGACGCCAAAATGCCCGGCAGCGGGGGTGGCACGTACATGGCGCAATGCCCGTCCTTGGTGAAGAAGGTGTCCTTCTCCATGTACTCGCCAACCTGGAGGGACATCTCCACCACGAAGCCAATGACCGGGGCATCGGCCCACGAATGCTCGCAATGGAGGCCCATGCGCCCATTCGGGTAGGTGATGAGCATGAAGGACTTGTCGGCCCAGCGGGTGCGACCATCGCCATGGAACAGCGACCGAGCGGTGGAGGACAAATCGGTCGGGGTCTCGTGCTCGAGGGCCACCACGAAGATGGAGCTCTCGATCATGGCCAGCGAGGAGGCATTGATGTGCGAGGAGAAATACATGGACCGGACCTTGGCCCACTCGGTGCGGTTGTCGGCGGTCAGGGCGGCAATCGAAGCCTCGGCCTCGGTCGGGGGCTTGGCATGGCGGTCCGCATGGTCGATGATCCAGTTAAACTGGATCTCCAGCTCGCGCGGGGCGATGGGCCGGCTGCCGGCACCGTCCAGCACCTCCACCGTGTACCAGTGTCCACGGCGCAGGACCGCGATGTGCTTGGACTCGGGGAAGGTGCGCAGGGTGTCGCACTCGACGCCGGGGATGCGAGTCGTGCTGAAAGTCCGCTCGAACTGCCACATGCACATGGGGACCGTCCCACGGACGACCATCGGCGCATACTGCTCGCGATCGAGCTTGTACTTGACATCCAGGCAGCGCCAAACCACGGAGGCAGTGCGAGCCGCTTGGCGATGAGTGGGCGGCTCGGCCTTCAGGTCCAGGATATAGTAGTTGGAGTTGACCACGATCGGGTCGCGCCCGTTCAGGTAGACATACTTCTCCCACCAGTCGGTGACCTGGGAGGAGGGGACGAGCCCACAGCGGCGAGAGGGAGGGGCGAGATGAGTCAGGGGCATGCCACCGGGAGACCATGTGCATGTGTGGGTATTGTGTGTCACCAGGGCGAGGAGGGCAGGCGGCAGGGAAGCGGGGCAGAGGGTGGAAAAAGGAGGACCCAATGCTCTGGGCGGAGAGAGAGCGAGAGAGCGAGAGAGCGAGAGAGCATGGCATGTGTCATGGATGGATGGATGGCACTGTCGGGGGCGCACATAGTTCGGGGTGACCCAAGACTTGGCCACGCAGTAGCGCTGCAGGCGACGACCCTCATGGCGCTCGAAGTCCGCGCACAGGGTCTCCATCTTGGAGAACTCCTCGGGCGAGAGGATCGGCTGGACAGAGGCAAGGTACCGGCGGCAAGTGTCCGCCAGAGCCGGGACCGGCAGGCGCGGCAGCGACGACTGGTTGCTGTAGGTCAGGGCGCTGGGCCGGAGGAGCTTGAACATGTGGTGCCCGGAGAGGAGCTGCACCAGCACGCCCCAAATCATGGTGGTGGTGCTGGTGCCCTTGGTGTCATAGATCCAGCCCTGGTAATGGAGCAGGGCCCGGAGAAGGGCCTTCCGGGTGTAGGACATGAGCAGCACGGCCGCGGTGCCGGTGGCCAGGGCCACCGCGCCGACAGACACCTCGCGGGGCAGCTCCTTCGGCAGCCAGTCCTCCATGCGGTCGAGATGGTGCCGGGCCGCATCGAGGACCGACCGGACGGCCTCCGGGGCCGAGGCCGGGCTGCCGTGCTCGGTGAGCATGAGGGCCGCCGGCGCCGCGGCCAGGGCCGCCCACTGCCACGCGGGATACGGGTAGAGGGCATTGGAGATGATGTTCCGCACGCGGATCAGGCGCCGGGTGGCGGACGAAGTGACCGAGGTCACCAGAGAGGGGACGGCGTTCTGTGGATTTTTCACCAAGTCCAGAGCAGGGTGAGGAGGGGGGCCAAAAAGCAAGAGGGAGCGGGTGATGGGCGGGGGCGGCCTGGGCGCACCTTGCTGAGACGGAAGACGATCTCATTGTCGGTGACCTCGAAGGAGAGGTTCGCCGGCTGCGCGCGGTAGGAGACGGCCGAGCGGGCTTCGGCCATGGTGAGGGAAAGGGCGGAGGGGGAGAGGCTGTGGAGGAGAGACGGCGTAAGTCAGGGCGGGGTGCGGTGGGGTGGGGGTGGGGGTGGGGGGCGGGAGGGGGGAGACGGCAAGATGGTGGCAGTGTTGTCCAGCGGACAGGGCCAGGGTCAGGGGCAGAGGGAGGGGGGAGGGGGAACAGAGGGAAAGAGGGAGCGAAGAGAGGACTTACAAGGGGGAAAGGGGCTCGGAATGGGGGGTTCGAGGAGAAAGGGTGTGCCCCCAGCACCGGGGCCTGGGCGGTCCGAAGCGGTGGCCGAAAAGAGGCCACGATTCGCACACGCACACGCACACGCACACGCACACATCGGCAGCCCGCCTTCATGCCCGGGGGCAGGCCAGCGCAGGGGTGCCCGTGGTCTCCTCTCCCCCCTGTGTGGAGGACTCTCCTGACACGCTCGCCGCATTGATGGCTCGTGCCCTGGTGGTTCCCCGTGCGCCAGGGGATGGGGCGTGGGGAGGGGGGGGGGGCGAGCCAGTGGGCTGTCCATGGCGCGCCCCCGCCCCCCCCCCCCCCCCCTTCCCCTGTGCATGTGGACGTGCATTGGACCTTCGCCGCCGAGGCACATGTTAGCGGACGCCCACCATCGGACGACTCGGCTCCCGGGGGGGGGGGCCGCCGAGTGCATCCGGCCCACGTGAAAATGGCCACCGCATCAATAACAACAACACCGGCCCCGGGGCCTAGGGCCTCCGGCTCACCAGGGGAGGGGGGCAGAGGCCGAGGGCATCATGGAAGGCGCCTCGCGCCCGGGCCAAGCGTTCTGCTCCTCCCACGCCCCGGGCTTTTTTGCTTTTCGTGGAAGCCCGGATGGCTGTGCGCGTGCGCGAGCGCGGCCCATCTAATGGATTCCTCCCGCCCTCTGGCCGCCTCGCCCTCCTGCCCCCGGGGGGTGGCTGCGTGGCTGGCATTCCACCCTGGCGACCGGCTTCCCACTCTCGCGCCCCGCCCCCACCCCCCCGGGCGGGCGGGCGGGCGGGCGGGCGGGCGGGCTGGCGGGGCGCCGAGGGAGGAGGGCGTCATATGTGGTCCTCCCCCGGGAGCTTCTCCGGAGTGGCCTCAGGTGGGGTCTCCTTTCGGCACGCTGGCGTCTAGGCAAATTTACGATCGAGCCGAGGCACATCTGCGCCTCCAACCAGAGCCCGGTGCTCGGGCGGCGGGGGGGGGGGGGAGGGCCAGGGCGGAGGCCCGCACCAGACCGGGCCCTAGCCCTGGTCGATCGCCCGTCTCCTGCCCCGGAGCGGGCGCGGCCATGTCCTCCCGCCTCGCCCTCTCCTGCTTCGAGGCCTGCTCCGAGCAGGTGTTAACACCCGAGGAAGAGCAGGACTGGCGGAATCGGAAGGAGAAATAGACCCCCGCCCCCCCCCGGTGGGGTGGCCTCTTGCCCGTGTGCCGCCTTTTCCTCCGGCCCTCGCTCAGGGATCAAGCGGGGCAGCGCGCCCTCGGTGCTCTTCGGCTGCCACCTTGGCAGGAGAGGGCCTGCCTCTGTTCGTGTGTGCCTATGGATGTGGGAGTTGATTCCGGCGCGCCCGCAGGTCTGACGCAGGACGGCTGCTTTCACATGAAAGGCCCCTCCCCTGCCCCCGGCGCCCTTCTCTCACATGCACCCCCCGCCCCCGCATCCCTCGGAGTCCAGGGGGACTGGGCCGGGTACAGACGCGGCCCGCGGGATTCCCCCCGCGCGCGCGCGCACGTGCGTGTGTGCGTGTCGCCGCGGCCGCAAGTTCATGTCCGGGCCCCGCTCCAACAGGGCAACCCCCCTTCTGCCCCCGGGGTGGCCCATGAACGCCGGATTTTCACGCCCGGGATCATATTTTTCCGCGCACACGCAAATTGCCCACCCTCCACACCGGCCAATATAGGGGACTCCTCCCCTCCCAGGGAGGATTAGGTCGGCCCTTCAACTTGCTGATGTGTGCCGGTCGTCTCGCCCTTTTCCCTGGCCGACATCCCTGTTCCCCCCCCCCCCCCCATCTCCCGAAACTTTTGGCCCGCGCCTGGATCCGGGCACCGGAAGCACAGCTCACCATGAGGCTGACCCTGCCACCCGGGGAGCTTCAAATAATGCGTGATTGGGGCAATCGTCTCCTGACCGAGTCACATGCCCATCGCGATCGGCAGCAATTCTGAGCAGTAGCCGCCCCAGCGCGCTCTTTTGTGTTCTCGTGTCCCTCGGCCCCTCTTCCGGGGCCCGCCCCATCCTGTGTCGGTGCATAGTTGGACACCGGAGACGGTGGCAATCCAAAGGGAGGTTCGACCGTGGCCGGGCCACCCGCCCTCGATGCATCCTCCCTCGTCACCTCCTCCTCCCGCCCCCCCCCCTTCCTCCCACTCTTCTCGCTCTCTCCCTCGACTTGGTGGCCACCTCCTCGCGGAACGCCTGCCCCCTCATCCGACTCCGCTCCGCTCCCCTCACTCCTTCGGATGGTGCCGGAGTGCCAGACCGAGCAGGATGTCCCAAGCTCGCGACCCTGTCTCCGAGACCGCTGAGATGCCTGTCGAGCAGATGGTCCGAAGTCTTCCTCCTCCCCATGCACCCCCTTGACCTGCCTTTTTTCTCTCCCTCGCTCTCCTGGGCCTCCCCCCCCCCCCCCCCCGCCCCCCCCCCCCCCCCCCCCCCCCCCCCCCCCGCCGCTCTTCCGATCCCCCCCCTCCAACCCTGCTCACCATCTCGCCAACCGGTCCAGCTCGACTATGTGGATGCCCTGCTCGCGGCGCATGAGGACTCGCCCTTCCTTCGTGCAGGCGAACTGGTCGAGGAGGATCTGGCCGCTCTGCACGGCTCCTTGAGCGACGGCATCTCCCCAGATTCGGGGGCGTCCTTCTCTCCACAGCCAGCGGCAGCGGGTGCTGGCATCAGCTCGCCGGATTCCTTCGTGATGGTGGGTCTGGACTCGGTCTCTTCGTCGGATGACTCGTCCTTCTTCACGCCAGCCAGCGGCGAGGCCAGCACCGACACCGGCACCGGCACCGGCACCGGCACCGAGAGTGACCCATCCGGCAGTGATCTGGACTCGGCGCTTGTCGCGTCGCCCAGTGATCTGAGCAGCAGCGGTTTCCTCAGCGCCGTCGAGGCTCCGATGCCGGTGCCGATGCCGATGCCGATGCCCACCGCCGAACAGGATCCAGGGGGTCCCCTCCTGCCGGTGTCGCCTCCTCACGCACCAGCAGTTCCCGATGTTCCGGGGCGGCGCCCGGATCGCCGACGCCGGCGCCACACCCCCGGTGTTTTTAGCCTGACAACACTCATCACCCGGCGCCCGTCAGTGTCGGACATCGAGCTCAGTGACACCCCTTCCGGGACGTCCACCAGCGCCTCGGATGGGGAGGAGTCCCCCTCGCGAGCGGCCTCCGCGCAATACCCCCTCGTATTGCTGGCAACCTCGGACCCCGATGAGCCCGATCTAGCTGGCTACCCAGACACCGGGCCCCTCCTGCGTGCAGGCCACCGGGCCGGCTCGCATTTCCTGGCTGGCTACCACGTCCTGTCCGAGCAGTCTGACGACCAGGATCTGCTCGATGAGGCCCCAAGCGGCCGGGCTCCATCCACCTTGCCAGCTATCGAGGGCTCTCCCCCCCGGGCGCCTGCTTCTCCGAACGCTCCCCCGGTGTCCGAGGCTGCCTCAGGGACCCCGGGGGACATGGCAACCCGGGCACCGATGTCGGTGCAGGCGCCCCGCCCGGTGTCGACTCCGGGCCCGGTGCCGGCCGCGACCGCATCAGCCACCATGGCCGCGGCCTCAGTGGCGACTGCCCGGGCCGCTGCCCCCTCCATGGCCGGTGCCCTGCAGCGTCACACCCCCCGGCGTCCCTTGTATGAGCGCCTGAAAGATGCCGGGGCGCCATGGGCTCAGCGCGCCCCGGCCATCACTGCCCGATTTCTTCTACTCCTCGGTCTGGGCCTCCTGGCGGCCACCCTGCTGTCGGGGCTTTTCTTCTTTCTGGCCAACATCAGCTTCCTGCTACTGCGTGCGCGCTATCTGCCTGATCCGCCGCATGTGTCGCTTCCGGTGCATTGGCAATTTGCTCCCCTGTCCGGGGGCTCTCCAACACCGGGGCCGTTCCTGCCCGGGGATGACTGGGCCGCTGTGCGTGATGGGGTCCTGGCCGGCGTGCCTTGTGGTCCGGGCCTCCGGGATTCCGCCGGCCGGTGTATGGCCCCCGGGGGTGGAGTGGATGGTGCAGTCCCGATTCCCGCCCCAAGCCGCGGAGGCTTTACTTGGCAGGCAGACACTGCGTCAGATGGCCAGCTGGCCGGGCTGCTCTGGAGCCAGCCCGGACGCGATACTCTCGCTGCCTTTGCTCGTGTGTGGCTTCTGCGTTCCGAGATTGATGATCGGGATCCGCTTCGCCAGGGATCTGTGCGTCATGCCCTGGTTGCCTGCTTGCTCCGATGGGCCACTGCCTCTTGCTGTGGCACGCATGCACAGACGCGCAAGATATCCCCCTCCGCCCCCTTCCTCTTTCGCTCTGTCTCGTTATCCCACCACCACCACCACCACCACCAGCACCAGCACCACCACTGACGACTGTCGACAGCTCCTGAGCACACACAATCGATATGATGTGTCCTTGGATCTGGAGGTGCCTGACACTCCGCGAAACCGTGACATTGGCATGGTCATGGCCGGCGTACGGGTCGTGTACAAATGTGGCGGCGGCCGGCCCCCGGCCGAGGCGGCTGGCCACTTCCTCGTCGGCGCAACCGCCTCCCGCGCCGTACGCATAACCATCCCCATGCTGAGCCCTCTCGCGCCCTTCTGCTGATGAGTGGCTTACATTGCGTTGCTTGACTCCCCCCCCCCCCCCCTCGGCAGTTTACTGTATCGTCCTTTTTCACACCGGGGCCTGGGCTCCTCCGACGCCTGTTGCGCCTCCCCCTTTGGCCGGTGTCAGTAGCCTGGCGTTTGGTCCTGCCCAAGCCAACCGACCTGCGTGTGAACTTGCGTGTCCCCCTGTTTGAGGCATTCTCTCCGACACCGGCGCAGGCGCTCGCCGAGTGCCGACGTTCGGCGGTTCGTATGCTCGTGCTGTGTCCCGTGTCTCTTCAATATGCATTTGCGATGGTGGCCATCTTTTCGGGTGTGTGTCGGACACATTGCTGACTGTGCTGCCCTGCCCCCCTCCCCCGTCTCTCTCTCTCTCTCTCTCTCCCTCTACCCGCCGGATTATCATCCTCATTTCTCGTGGTCCAGCTGGTCCCAGTTCGGATGGACCTTCGCCTTTCACGGCCAGACATCCTGGTGTACCGGTCGGAGTTGCGCATCGCGGCGCGGCCGCGCGGTCTCACAGCACTGGTCATGCGTTTCCCCCTGGCCAGCTGGCTGGTGGCCGTGACCCTGCTGACCGGGCTCCTATGGGCTGGGTTTATCTTGATCCTTGGCGGTGCGGTGCTGGCCTGGGTGCTGTTCACCGGTCCGGAGCGTCGCCCATCGCCATTGCGACGGCCACCGGGCCCGCCTCCGCCCGGGCCTGCTCGGCGTCCGGCTCCCGGGCCACGTAGCAATCTTCCCTCGGCTCCGGTTGTCGGGCCCTCACGGCCGCCCACTTCCCTCTCCGGCGGACAAACCATGGCCTCGCCGCCGCATCCGGCTGCCCCCCAGCGCTCGACCACACAGCAACGCTCGACCGCTCCTCCTCAGCGTCCGAACGCTCCCCATGTCGGACCTCTCTCACAGTCCTCGCCGAATCCGCAGCCTCCACGCATGGACCGCCTGCTCGAGGCGCTGCCTCTTCGACGGTCGGCATCAGTCCCTGCGACTGGCCATGACCCGGAGCCGAACCTCGGCTCGAGGCCAACATCGCTCACTCCGCCGCCCGGGCGCACGACCCAAGTCCCTGGCCCTGGCCAGCGCGCGCCCCTCCGGCGACGTACGGGGCCCTTGCAGCTTCTTAACCGCGCCCTGCGGGCCGGCGCCAGCCGGGCCGGAGTCGGCACTTCCCCTCCAGCATCTTCCCATGGTCTCCCCGTGGCCAGGCGCCCCTCCGCCTCGTCCGTGTCTCTCTCTTCCAGCAGTGACTCGGCCCACCTAGTTACAGCGCCTTCCTCTCCGCCGCCCCCAGTACCGTTGTTGTTGCTGCCGCCGCCGTCGCCGCCGCCGCCGCCGCTGCCACCGGTACGCCTGGACCCGTGCCCCCTCCGACTGCCGCCACCATTTTTGCTCGTCCCCTTCTCACCGCCTTGACGATACCGCGCAGCGGGCGGAAAGTGCCGGGCCAGCCAAGGCCGGGCCAGTGGCCCATGCCGTGAACGAAGCCCAGGATACAATGTGGACCGGTCAGCCATGTCTGTCGGACGCTGCCCTTGACATGGAGCCCCCTGTCGAGTATGAAGAGTCTGATGGTGGATATGACGCCGAGCCGGATGAGCGAGGTGCCGTTGGCCAGCCCCCTGGGCGGGTGGCCTCCAGGACACGATCCTCCAGCCTCTCGGAATCCTCCTTCTTAGCCCGGAGCTGTGCGTTCTCCCTTGGGCTCTCTTGTGCTTGCCCCCCCCCCCTTCCCCATTCATCGTTCGTCTTGAGGCCAGGACTAACCAAGTCATGACCAGCCACCTTCAATGCCACCCGGAGTGTCCACCGCCGGCGAGCTATCCCGGCCGCGGATGCCTCTATACTCTCCTTATGATAAACATCATCAGCGTGGTCCCTCCCTCCCTCTCTCTCCCCCCCCTCTCTCTCTCTCTCTCTCTCTCTCCCTCCCGCCTAACAGTGCTGCTTTTCTCAGCACGACTCTCCTCCCCTTTGCACACAATTTCTGGGAGATGCACTGGGAGTGCCAGTCTACCCCGGCGAGGACCTATCTACCAAGCATTTCCCACCCCCTCCGCAGGAGGGAATGCGGCAAATGTCGCAGTTCTGTTGTGGTTATGGCCTCTGGGCAGATCTTGCTACCCGCGGGGTGAGGTGAAGAGATCTGAGGCTTGAGTGGGGGGGGGGGGGGGGCTAAGGGGATGGACGAGGGGTGGACAGCTCCCAACTGATGCCAACTGATCGACCGCCCCCCTGGGCCCGGACAGGTCTGTATTTTTGCCTCCTCTGCGGCGTCTGCCCGAGAGCCCGAGATATCACCTCGCCCGGGTGGAGGGGGGGACACGCATGGCCAGGGTGCCAGGCGCGATTGGCCGATACGCCTGCCTCTGCGACACATGTGTGACGCTGGGATCTAAATTAGAATGATTGGTGGTGGCGCGCGCGCACGGAGGGCTCACATCCTAGCCCTCGCCCCAGATGCTGATGTGCTTGTAGAAGAGCACCGCCGACCGGGCGAGGAGATTATCTCTCAGATGGTGACATCCACGCGCCCGCTGTAGCGTTCGCCATCGGAGCCGAGGGCGCAAGCAAGGGGCCGGGGGTGGGGGTGGGCGGCAGGCCAGGCACTCTCTGGCTTGGGGCCGCCCCATCGGGCGGCGGAGCGGATGCCTGCGGCCTGCGGGGGTGTGCGGGCCACCACCAAGGCACGGATGGGTTGATTATCGGGTCAGCCACCCTTCGAAGAGGACGCTGGTGCCGACTGCCCGAGAGGACCCTGCCCTGGCCATATCCTGGCCCGAGCGGCCTCCATCGATGCCGATTGCCGGCCCCGCGGGGCGCCTTGGGCTCCCCGGCGGAGCGAGAGAGAGAGAAAGAAAGAGAGAGAGAGAACATGTTCCCAACCATCCGACCGGTCCGGGGCGGGCGACGAGGGCGTCCGCGGCCTGAGATTGTGGGGTGGGCATCTTTTCGTTGGCTTCCGCGAAGGCCTCGCGGGTTCAAAGGACCAACCCCCCCCCCCCCCCCCTGCCCCGCCCCGCCCCGCCCCGCGCCATCCATCTCTACCCTGTCCTCGACCACGGCCACCCTCGGTGGTTCACGTTCAGGGGCCGGAACCCCGTATCATCGCGATCCCGGCCCCTGTCTTTCATCTCGCCACAGGACACTCTGCTCGCCTGCATGGCTTCGTGCACTTGAGCTGGGTTCACGGGTGTCCTGTGTCCCTTGCCCCCTTGGCCCGCGTGTACTTTCCCGCTCTCTCTCTCTCTCTCTCACTCACTCACTCTCTCTCTCTCTCTCTCCCCCCACATCCCCCTCCCGCCGGCCCCATACCCCATTTTGGCTGGTCTGGTCTTCGGCATGGTGCCTCCTCGGGAGAAATAGCCAGCGCATACGTGCACACACACACACACACACACACACACACACACACACACACACACACACACAGGGAATCTAGGGGCCAAGATCGGCAAGATGCCGGGTGCGGTGTAGCCAGAGGGAGGTCCGGCTTCGCGAAGTAGAATTTGGCCGCGCGCGCTTGCTCCCGCGGAGGGCCGGTCCCACGTGTGGCCTTGCCTCTCGTGCGGCCCCTCCCCCTCCTCTCCATGGGCACCCGGCCGTGTTTTTGACTTTCGGTGTTGGCTGTTCCGGGGCACCGCCGGGGGCCGCCGACTCCGGGGGCCCATGCTATGCCCATTCGGCCGAGCGCTGCCCTATCACCCGTGGCATCGCGTATCTTGCCAGCAATGCTCTGATGCTCGTCCTCCGATCGCTGCATGGGCTCGATAAGCTTCCAATGCCAAGGCACAGGACTCCATGTTTGGACGTCCGGCTGTCGGCCCCCCCCCCCCCCCCCGCTTTGGTCCTGCTTCTTCCTCCTCCGCGTGGGACGGCCTGCGGTCGGGTGGGCCTGGTGGCTTCTTGGGGCCTCCAGCCCGAAGGCATATCCGGCCTGGCTGGCATGCACGGAGGCGCAGCCATCGGGGAGTCCCCAAGCCCCCGGTGGGGACCCGATCGAGGCGAAGCTAGGGCAGGTGCCAGGACCAAAGTCGAGGCTAAGGCACCTCCAGGCGCCAGCCCCCGGGCGAGTTCTGCATACGAGCCTGGCCGCACCCTGTCGCTCTGGCAGGCTAGCCTGCAGAGTGTTGCTCCGCTTTTAAGAGGTGGAGAGGCGCCTAGCCGCCGATCGACCCTGATCGGCAGACATTGCCTCTCCGCTCCCTCGCCCTCTTCCCCCCGCGCCCTTTCGCCTTCTGTGTCGTGCCCAAACGCACACACACCACCCTCGCGCTCTGACGCTGGGCGGCCTGCCTCCGGATACCTGTCGTCCGCACCTCGGGCGCATGTCACCAAGCCCGGTGGAATTCTTCCAAAGTCCCGGCCAAACGACCTGCCCGTGCACTTGCCTCCTCCCTCCCTCCCCCCCCCCCCCTTCCGCAGCAGGGAGTCCCCTCACTACCTGCGTGGCGTCGTGCCTGGTCGCGTGGTATTCCGGATCTATCTTCCTGGCTGGAAACGCCCCTCCGCCGCGCCCCTGTCGCGGAGCCACTGCGGTGTCTTAAGCACCTGTCCCCCGGACCGATTGGCGATGCTCCCCACTTGCCGGTCCTGCACCCTCCGTGTCCCATTTCGTCCCCGGTGCCCGCCTCAGCCCTGTCTCCGGTCGTGAGCCCTTGCGACTGACCCTCGCCGGTTCGTACAGGCAGGCAGCACCCTGACCCAGCACGCATCGATGCCGCCTTGTTGATGACCGGGTCAGTATCTGACACACTGCCATGCACATCACACTTCCACCACGGCGCGCGATCGCGCGTTTGCGCCCTGCACACGTCCTTCGTTGCTTCCGCGCCCTCCTCCTGCCTCTCTGTGCCCCGCCCTGCATCTCGGCCCGGCCGCTCGCTCGCTCGCTCGCACTCCCCCCCCCCCCCCCCTGCCTTCGTCCCCATTCGCGCTCACTCCCTGGCCAGCTCCTGCACATCCGCCATACCCGCTCCATCGACCGGCCGCCTTCCGCCGCAACCAGCCACCAGAGGACCCTCGGCTTCGGGCCATCCTTCGGCGCGCGCCTATCGCCGGCTGCCAATGCATTCCGCTCCATCTCTGCAGGGATCCCCGCAGGACGAGCGTGCCCAAGCTCAGCCTGGTTCCCCCCCGCCGGGGCGTGCTTCGCTAGGGTCCCCGCCACTCGGCCGTGGGGACATTCCCGCCGCCGGCCCGGCCGCCCGGACGCCTCGTCCGGTGGAGTCGGATATCCGCCACCCCGCCGACCACCTGCAAGCCTTCCACTGGCAACGGCCTTGCAGCCCGTTGGCCAGTGCTTTTGGCAAAGAGAGCCCCCATTGGGCTCACGTGCCGGTCGTCGTGTCGGCCCTTGTGCCGTCCTCGATCGAGGGGCCCCCGGCCGATGAGGCCCGCACACATGGGGACTCCTTTCCGGGGCATGTCGCGGCTTCATCCGCGTTGTCGGTAGCCGGTTCACCACCGGCATCGCTATGCTCGTCGGCATCTTCTGCGCATCGGCCCCCGTCATACCTCTCGGCCGCATGCGCCCGAGCCCCGGCGGACGCGCCTCCTTCATCGGTAAGTGCCCCGGACGCCGGGGCCACCGACACCACCCCTCCGCCCTCGTCGCCGGGCTCGCGGCCGGCCAACTTCCCGGACACCGGGTGCCAACCCCCTGCCCGGGCTTATGGCGCCGCCACCGACCCGATGGCCGAGGGTGGGCGCGAGCATGGGGCCCTCTCCGCCTTTCAGCCCCGGGGCGGGCCCCACGCGCAGAGCTCCACGATGCTTGCCAACATCGGTGCTGACACCGACTCCGAGGGGTCCTGCACGACTCCCTGCACGGCCACGGCCCCGACCACGGGCCATGCATCGGACTCGGGTCGCGCGTCCACCCCGCCGGTGCAGCCGGTGGCACTCGCCGCCTCCCTGCGGTCTCCGCCGGAGGATAAGCACCCAGCCCCGACGGCCGGCCCAGTGCTGGCGGACACCTACCCTTCGGCCTATCGGGCCTCCTCGCAGCATGCTCTCGACTTGGCCTCCCAGTCGTCGTCCCATTCCCAGCGGGCCTCGCTCATGGACCACTTGAAGTCGGCATCCATCGCCGGGGCCAATGCCGCTGGCAGTGGCGACAGCGCCGCGGGCAGCAATGCCTCCATCCCGCAGGGAGCATCACCGGCGGCCAGCCAGTACCGTCCAAGTCCGCGTCCTGCGGGCGGGTCTCGCGGAAGCGTCGATCCGGAGCTGGAGGCCAAGCGTCTGGCCAACCGCGAGTCAGCCAAGCGGGTGCGTATGCCAGCGGCGGCCGGGTTATCCTTTCCCTTGCCCGGCCTTCCCCTTGGCCCAGGTGCCAGACGCCCGGGGGACCCTTGCCTGAGGCAGTTGAAGTGCGCTAACTCCCGTGGGATACCTCGCTGGAATATCCCTCCCCGACCATGGGAATGGCCAGTGCCGAGAGCGGAAGCGCCAGCGAATCCACGACCTGTACCAGAGCGAGAGTGACCTGGAAACGGCAACCGAGGCCATGGGCATCGGGCAGCAGGCGCTCACTGCTTCGCTGCGCGAGGCGGCCGAGCCCCTGCTGCAGCATGTGCGCGTGTGCCCGGACTGCCCGGCACGGCTTCGTGTGCAGCAGCTGCTACTGGTGTTGCTCGACACGCTGGCTCTCCCCCCCTTGCCGGAGCTCAACGACATCACTCAATTTATCAATGCGAGGTGCGTTGGTGGAAGGGCGACCGAGTTCGCCGCACTGGCTCCCCCCGCCGCCTCCCTTGATTGGTGGGGCTTTCGGGGGTGGGGCCTCCTGCAGGCAGATGACGCTAACGGTTCCTCGGCTGGGCCTTGGCCTGTCTACGGCCCCCCTCTCCACGTCGTTCTGGCTCCGCCGGG